ATAACCAATCAGTGCGCGAGAAATTTGTAAGTTATTGTAAGAATGACTGTGTATCACATCAGGCAGGGTGATTGCAGGTTTAGCATCAATTATATCAAGTATAGTATTTTATCCTCACTGCATACTCATTACCGAGTCACGGCAATTAAGATATTGAAGGTGACTGCGACTGCTGGCAATGAGCATGCGATGCGCCGTCAACCGTCACCAGGGGAGGTGGGTGGGGTTAATCTTGTACTCTCTCCTTTGGCAGCTTTCGACGGAATGATTCAAGGAACTGGGTGTGGTGCTTATATATGCAGGGGTCGCAAAGCATTACACCTGCACTGCGCAAACTCCAATGTCCATATATGGGGGTTGCTAAATTCGTACGTGACACTACAATTATGTATGCAGTGAGAATATTTTGAATATGTCCGGGTGGAAGCAGAGGTAGCCCTCCGGATCAACGTAGGGGATAGGGTTGGAAATGACAAGATGTGAGCAAATGAAAACTAGACTACGCTTAATGATGCAAAAATGTGGAAGGAGGAAACGAACGTCGAATACGAAGTAGGAAATGTATTGAATATTATAGATTGTGGTATTTTCAATAGCACGCAAAGCCACGCCCACGAACACGCTATTTTTATTGACTCCTTTAGGTTCCCAACCGCACATTTTATCCTCACAGGTAGTGAAGAACATTTTCTCTTTGCAGCTACAACTGCAGGACATATTTTTTTGTATAGGAATAAATAGGTTTTGGTGTTCAGGAATTAATTTTGGGTATATATCTGCTGCAGAAATGTCAAAAGTAGAAAGCGAAAACAAACCGAGACAGCAAAAGTAAATACGTGCGATACATGGACCGACAAGAACGCGAGAAATGAAAACAGCTAGGACCGGACACGTAAATATAAAGGCGCACTCGAGGGAAATAACACCGCTATACTAAATGAACTAACGAGGTAAGCAAAAATAGGGTAATATAGTGAACCAAGCCATGACACTAATTCTAACAATAGATGGAAAAGGGTGAATAGAAAAAACTAAGTGCAAAACCGAACTTAAACTAAGGGTCGAAATGCGTAGAGCCCGAAGGAACGCGTGCGAAAACGAAACTAACTATAAAGGATGGCGATAGAAATATAGGAAACGTAAAGAAAAAGAGCCGGGCAAGTAACATACAAAAAATATATAATATATACAAAAATAACTGACGYGTAACGAGCTAAACGAGAATATAAAATAGAGCGAACAAAGCCGTGACACCAAACTAACCTAGACTTATACAGCATAAAGACGAGTTCAACCAGGGCAACTGCGAAACTGCTAACTTAGGAGATAGCCATTAAACTAGGGGGGCAGTAAACGCAGAACACTACTAATCCGCAACGCAATAGGACGACGTACGAACCCCGGCTCCCAACCTCATTTATACCTCATTTGGTGCGTTTCCTACTTCAACTGCTGGTTCTTGAGTAGCGGCTGGTGCAAATCCTGCCGGTGCTGCTAAAGCTGGAGCGACTGGTGATGGGATGGTGGGCATTGGGCCAGGAAGAGGAGGGATGTTAGCCATGTTAGCTGGTGACGGTTGGATGAGTGAATCTTCTACAAGGCTCTCCTTTGGCAGCTTTCGACGGAATGATTCAAGGATCTGGGTGTGGTGCTTATATATGCAGGGGTCGCAAAGCATTACACCTGCACTGCGCAAACTCCAATGTCCATA